TGATAGATGAGCTGAAATTTCTTCATTATGAATGCCGATGCCGATGCTAAGATATGTTGTGTTTTATGATTTTGTTTTTAGAAGCCTAATGTTCAGTTGCAGCAAGGGTAGGATGTAGTAAATTTATACAAGCATCTCTTAACTTATTACAAATTTCTGGAGATTTGCATCCCATCAATTGGATGGCTTCCCCTCGGGTTTGATATCCATTATTGAGGGATCCTCTCTCTTGTTTGGAAGCTGCTTTTTCCGGTCCCTTGTTTATTCATTCATGCTGGTTGATTCTTCTGGAAATGCAAATAATAGGCACTGCTGCTTGTCGTGAACTATGACAATGCTAAAGGGATATAGAATTGGAAAATATTATGCTTTGAAAGATGAAAATAATTTTTTAAAAAATATAAATTGCGTTTTTTTATTATTATTGATTTTGCATTGGCCATTAGCTTCGAAACAAAGGGGGGTTCGCTGTCTGGTTGTTTTATTTTTCTGAAAAAAATGCATATGCTCTTCATGCATTTGTGATGGAAGTTGCCGGATTAACTTGATTCGCAATGCCCTCTTTGTTTTGTAAAATACCTGAAAATGATTACTTTTTCAATAAAAATAACTGTTTTTATTTATGTAAATAAACAACTGTTTTTATTTATGATTTAATTGTTTGACAAGAGTCAATCCATTCAAATTGAAATCATTACAAATTATATATAGAAAAGAAAATAAAAGAGAGTAAATTCACACATATTGAAAAGATTAAAAATCATTAAAAAAAAATTGAGGAATCTCTCCTATCCTTCCTGGGTTCCTTTCTTTTTTATCAAAAGATGCATGCATGCATCAACTCCTTTCCTCTATTTATGGAAGATTTTTTATCCGTTTGTTTTTTGAGTTTAAAAGGTGGTTTTTTAAAAAATTAAATTTTTAAATTTTTTTTACTTTAAAATAATATTTTTATATTTTCAAATTATTTTAATGTGTTAAAAGTAAAAATAATATTTTAAAATAAAAAATATTTATTCTGTGTAAACAGCCCAAAGCTTCATAACAGGCTAACAGCATTCAAAGAGAGAAAAACAAATCCTCTCCAGCGCCTCGTACTTGATTGTTGCTGACATGGAGATTTGTTATCTTCCTCATGAGGGATTAACCTCTTACTGTTTCCTCTCTTTTCTATAAAGAAATGAGTTTAGGCATAAAGTGAGTTTTATAATTCAACTGAAACTACTTATTTTTCTGCAGTTAGGTTCAGAATTATTCTTTTAAGAAACACGTTTTATTTTTAATTTAATTATGGTTTAAAAATAGATTTAAAGGAATGTGTATTTAATTAAAACGATTATGATATGGGTTTTTACATGTAAAATAAATAAAAACAATGTTATTGTAGTGTTTTTTTAAATTAAGATTTCAAACGCAAATGAAATTATTGTAAAAAATAAAAGCTATTTAGCTAATCAAATTATTTTTTTATATGATTGGGAAAAACATATAAGCTACCACAAATTCAAAAATAAAAAAACAACTAAAACAAAAGGCAAATGAACTGTAGCTATATAAATATTTTTTTATACACCGCCATAGTAAAATGACAATTTTACCCTTCACCAAAAAATCATAAGCCTTAGTTTTGGGGGTATTCTAGTCTTTTTATATGGTTTACTTGTCATTTAACAATTGTATAGGGTTATTTATGTCTTCTCCAAGCATATAAATTATTTAATTACCCTAATTTCTAAACAAATTAAAATGATTGCCTAGGAGTATTTTTATCTTTTTCTTTCTCTTGAAAACCTTTTTTATCCTTGCAGTTAAGGAGAGATGACCCTTTTGGTCAAAGATATTTGGATCTTTTCAAATACGTTTTATAATGAATCTCATATGCATGGAGTAATTTGATCTTTTTCTCTTGAAATATTAATTTGTTATTCAATAAAGCTCTTGACGCGTGAAAACCACGCTTTAAAATGTGAGAAGCACCACATACAATGCCTCGTGGTTACAGAACAAGCCTTTTGGCCATCTCATTGAATGTGTCGTGCTTCCTCTTCCATCAAGTATGGTGCATTTAGTTGTAGACGTGGTTGTTTGTTGTTGGCTCATCTATTTATTCTTTTGTTTTTCTTTTTTTTTTTCCTCCTCTCAAAAAATACAAGCTTGTCCTTTTTTTGTTTGCTTTTCAGTTTCAATTTTTATTTTTTTGATGTTTGATTCTTTTTATAATCATTTTATAAAAAAATTATTTATTTTTAATTTAATTTTTCAATTTTAATTAGATATATTTTATTTTTTTTCTCATTCAGTCCTTATTGTTTGAATTCTAATTTCTCTTCCTGTGAAAGTTTTTTCTTATTTTGAATTTAATCATCAATTCAACTTTGTCATGTGTAATATTTTTTAATTTGGTTCTTCTTCTTTTAATTTTTTATTTTTTTTCTTTTGCTCTTTTGTCTAGGTTTTGGTGATTTTCAATTTTATCGTTCAATCTAAGTTTTTTTTTAATTTAATCCTCATACTTTTATTTTTTTTCATTTTGTTAATTTATTTTATTTTTTTTCAATTTAACCTTTGATTAAATAATTTTTCATGCCTATTAATTTATTTATTTTTATTTTCACCCTCATTCTCTTTAATTGCTAAATCTTATTTTAAATCATTTTATTTAAATTTATTTTTCTTCCGGTTTCATTATCCAACATTTGATTTATTAAAAGTTTGACTTTTCAGTTTTGTCATGTACAAGGTATGATAACTTGTGTTATAACTTCTTAAAGTTATTTATGTCATGGTTTTTAAACACGATTAAGAGGGTCTGTTCAGGACAAGATACCAGTCATAAGTCAATTAGGTTGACCCGAGTAAGGTTATTTGATTCAGGTCAACCTCTTTTTATAAACATATAAAAATAACATCATTTCAAAAAAGAAATTTTAAAAAAAGGATCAACAGATTTTAGTAAGTTTGCCCACAACTAATTAGATTACATGTCAACCTTATTTTTTGATCATATTAAACCAGGGACCAGGTCAATCCCTTTTTATTTTTGTTGGAACGCATCTTGGTCTAGGCTTGATTATTTAGGTAAAAAATCAAAATGTTAGAATTGTTTGATTTTCAATAAATCATATATCAAGTTATTTTAATCTCATTACTACGGTTATAAGTTTGAAAGATTAATCTAAATTTATCCATCTCTTATTATCTAGCTCACATGTTTATTATGTATCCTCAAGTTTGCTCCGCTCAGATTTTTTTTCTTTGTTTTACCTAATTACATGTTTTTTATGGGTTATTTTAGGTCAACTTTGTCATTTAAAAAAAAAACATTTATTATTATTACTATTTTTTTTATCATCTTATTAAAATAAAATCAACTTATTTAATCTTATAACAATGAAATCAACTTAACTTATTCAATCTATTAAAGGCTATAACTTGGTGCTCATTTCTTTTTTTATTCTTTTATTATTTTATTTTTTGTTTTTAATTTAACCCTCTAATCAAATAATTATTCCCAACCTCTAATTTATTTTTTATTTTAATTTTCACCCTCAATTAAATTTTTTTAAATCCTCATGTGATTTTTTAATTTTAATTTTACATCCTTATATGTAATTAATTTTTTAAAATTTTTAATTTAATATTTAATTTGTTAAAAATTTTAAAAATAACTTATCACATATTTACCCAAGAATCAACCCATCATAAATCCCGAGTCAGGTTAATTGACTTTTAACATACGATTAATCTTTTTTAATTTTATAATATGTAGAAATGACTTTACTCTTCACGAGAAGAAACAAAAAAATCAAAGGTTTCGGCTAAGGTTTTTTGGCTAACTGGTGAGCCAAGCTAGAACCTAGGTTATTAAATTTTTATTCTTTGTAAAATGTAGGTTATTAATTCTTTTATTTAAAACATTTATAACATCTAAACATTTTAAAAAAAAAAAATCGCTCAGACCAACAATGCATCACATGCCCCCATCCAGTCCATTCATCCCAGAAATCGAGTTTAAAGCCTCCCCATTCTAATCAAATATATATTTAATGGAAAGAAGAGACTACAAACCTATTTAGAAGCGTAGTTATAATTATTTTTGTATTAAAATATATTAAAATAATATTTTGTTATTTTTTAGAAATTATTTTTAAAATTAATACATCAAACAATTCAAAATATAAAAAAAATTAATGTTCAACAAAATTAAAAAATTTTAAAAACACAAATACAGCCACATTTCCAATCCAATCGCCCAATATAAATTGAAATCATAGAATCGTCAAAATAGATTTGATCAAACTCAGATTAGTTACATGGAAACGAAACGAGAGCAGGTTATCCCAACTAAAGTTTGCATGATTAATCTCCTATGAAGAATCAAAGGGAGGCAGAAACATCCCAAGGCCAAACAACTCGGTACCTCTGCCATTTATATTTAAAATCCAAGAAAATAAACATCAAACACCCCATTATTTTCTCTAGAAAAAATATCAGAAATATTTTCTCACTGCAAATTGCATTTTTCTTTTCAGACAGGATATTGCTACACTGAGGCAGTGAAGTCAGAGTTTATTGCTCATAAGAATAAACAGTTCCCAAGTTTTTTCAGAAAATTGAATTCCACAAGCTGAAGGCTGATGGCATCTTCATTTTCCCAATCTAAAGCCTCTACAGCCACTTTGGAATACCATTGCCAAAAACCACCGATCATCATTTATAGAATGGCACATAACAATGACAAGTCTCACAAAAAGTTGAGATGAAACAGTTCCAACTGCAGACTACGTTAGGTTACAATGCCTAAAAGAATTAAGTTTACTCATTTTGAGATGGTCAATCAGGACCGAGAAAAACACCAGAACCAAATAACATATGAAAACGATAACAAGTTGACCGGTGGGTGTTCCAAATTTTGGTGCAGACTTTTCAAGTGTGTTTTTCACTTAAAAATGCATCAAAAAGATTTCTTTTTCTTTTTCGTCATTTTTTACATGAAAAAACACTAAAAAAAATAAATCAATTTGATGCTTTTTCAAGGCAGGTGCAATTTTAAAAAGCACTAAAAAACAGAAGCTACCACAACCCCTAACAGGTTCTTATGCCTAGGGTCAAAATTCACACAATACAAATACCAACAGTAAAGAGGCACAGTTATTCAATTCTCTAAAAAGCACTCTGGTTCTTGGTGAGAATTTTCTCTACAGGTTATGCTTGCATGGCAATCTAAACAAGGGAACATAAAGCTAAACCCATAGAAACAGCAAGATAATACTCTGAACAGATCACAAATGCAGTTAGAGATGTAATAATACTACCAAGCACCTAGTTCAAAGAAAATACAATAAGCACACTCAAAAGTGTTTAGAAGATACAATCTAGATAAAGCACAAGGACCAGGTGGCAGATGTACAATCCAATACATAAGAAACCCTAAGAAAAAGAAAAGGATAAGATAAGGATTAAGAAACAGCAGTTATCCTTCCCTAATGGGCATAAAATTTGACTGGAGCACGAAAAAAAAAAAGCAAATTGCAAAGCAACTTTTTCCAAACAAAGTATCGCAGTAAAGTGGATGACATGGCAAAGCATACAACTTATGGAACTGACAGCAAGCCAGCAACACAGCAAGGTAGCAGCCACCACCAGTATCAAAAGTGCTAGTACCATTACCGAACCAACCCCATCATGAAGGGCAGCAACTGACCGCTACAGGTGATTATTCACTAATACTTGCATAAGTTACGGACCGACCAATATCATACAACAGAACAGGCATCAGCCATCACTTCAACAGCTACAGTCACGGACTTGTATGCTCACTTCACTACATTGAGCAACATTAGTTAAAAGGTTATATTGGTGGCGTTAAGCATGGCAAAGTCTTATGCCCCAAACAAATAATAGGCAGAATCATGTTAACCTGGCCTGTAAAAAACTGCGGCTGCAAAATTCAGAACTGCATATCATGTCTCATACTATGTATCAGTATAGTATGAGATCTATTAACAGGTCCACTTCATTTGCAGCATCAGCTACAGGCAAAACACGATCATCTTGTGTCCACCTTCTATACCATCACAGCAACTACCACCCCCATCTCAGGACCAATAATTTCAAGATAAACAAAGACCAGAAGATAATCAGGTCAAACATCAGACACCAGAATGACACGATTTGTTTTGAAATCAGGGGTGGACGTTTTTTATCTTACCACTCATCAGAAATTTAGAGAAATCACAACCACGATCATCCATCTATGTTTTACAAACAGCATCAACAGCTACAATATCCACAATATCAACATCCTGGCCATCTGCCCCACGTCAATCTTTTCCGGAACAAAACTATAAAATTCAATGAATGCAAGTGTTAAATCAGCCTTCTCATGCAATAAATCACACCCACACACAACATGATCCTAAATCCAAGAGAACAAAAGAAAATCAAGCACAATAATGTGGCTTACAACTCAAGTCTTTCATGGAGAGTAAAGTATCAGCCTACAAACTATAAAGTCCATACAAGGCAAACCCACCAAGTTAATTAGAGATGCATTGGGTTCAACATAGAAATATATAAGTACCAAACCAGTTCTTTAAACCTGACCAGAACATATTCAACGATTAAAAGAGAGTTCAGCTGTAGCAACATGACCATCAGATTGGCACTAGTCAAAGTGCCACAAAAGATCCATGCAACCCTCAAAGCTCATTCCTACACAATGAAACAACAGAACCGGCCAGTTAAGAAATCCTCATATGCACTCAATAAATGGGAGCATGAGGAGAACAACTCACATCAACATCTGAATTTCGCGGGGATGGGCTACGAGACGCAGCAGGCCGACCTCGTGGAGAAGCACTTCGAGGGGTTGGAGACCCACCATCACGGCTGCGTCTATCAGGGCTTTCACCTTTCACAGGGGAATTCTTACGTGGGGAATAACTCCTTCGAGGTTCCAGGCTCCGCCGAGGAGAGAGACTGAAACATCACCAAGACCATTAAAAAGATATAGTAACAGCAAGAAGACAAAGCTATCAGCTTAAAATTGACAACAATGCACTAATAAGCAAAGATGTAAACCTATCCCTAGATCGGCTGCTACTTCGCCGCTCATCATCATAACGGCTTCTACCACGTCCTCTGGAGTAATCAGGACTGGCACTGCGACTCCTGCTCCTTCTACGATAATCTCTGTCCTTTGCACGGTACCTGTCACGGTCTGACCTGTCCCTGTCCCTGCTTCTGCTCCTACTTCTCTTCCTAGAGTCCCTATCTCTAGAGTCATCTCGGTACCTGAAGACATTAATTAATAGGTTCCACACCAGGAAACAATAAAACAACATGGTGACAACATGCTCGATCACAAACATATACCACCAACAAAAACCCTCTACACCACAAAATTTTGCAACTAGAGATTAAACCAGAACAGCAACAGCTAATTTGACATTAAAGTGCAGATACATATTTTACTAGAGAAAATTTCAAAGGGTAAAAAACCATGAAGTGCTATTGTAACAAGAAAAAACAGTAGATCATAGGGAAAAGAAAAGCATAAAAGGCATAATTTTGTAGAGAGCAAGCTGGTGACAGCAGAACCTATCAATTGCAAGAGGTTCTTGGGATCTAAATGCATAAAGATAGGTGCTAAGGGACATTCTAGTTACCTCAGAATTCAGAGGTCAGAACAGCTACCGTACTAGAATAATCTTGGGAAACTATATTTATAAAACTAATCAAAAACTCACTTAAAAAAAGAAAAGAAAGCGCAAAAAAAAGATACCTTCTCCGAGGGCTGCGACTTCTGGACCTGTGCCTTGATTTTGAAGGCGTTTCAATAATCCTTCCCTTATGACTGATACAGAAATAGAGAGGCAATTCAGAATCCAAGGAACTATAAGCATAGCAGCTACAATTAAAAAATCAACACAGCAGTTATCATAACAAACAATTCATGACCCGGAACTTACATCCTCTCAGCCTTGGGCCCATATTTTGCAAACTGAACTGTTATTTCGCGACCATCAACAACCCTCCCTGAAAAAAAAAAAAAAAGCAAAAACCTTAAATAATCTAATACGCTCAACCAGATAAAAATGTAAATAAAGAGGAAAAGGGAGTATACCATCTAGCCTGTCCACTGCCTTCTGAGCTTCATCAGCGTATTTGTAGCGCACAAATGCAAAGCCCCTCGATTCCCCAGTTCTAAACAACCAAGAACAACAACTTTAAGGAAAAAAAGAAAAAAAACAGGAGAGAGGATTGTGAAGAAGGTGACAATAATAACAACCTTCGATCTCTAGGGATGAAGATGTCGACAACCTTGCCGTACTTGTCGAATAGCGGAAACAGATCATCAGCAGTAGTACCTGATAACATAAACCAAATCATACATCCATACATCATACATACATAAGCAGACGGAGACAGTGAGAGGCAGGGAGGTAGTGGGGCTTACGGAAGGTGATGTTGAGGACGAGAAGAGAGTATGTGTCGGCGATGTCTGGAGGGCCAGACCTGCCGAAGTGAGACATCTTTTGCAGATAGAGTTAGGGTTTGCGGTTCAGAAAGAGATTGAGAGAACTTTCTTGAAGAAAATCTTGCTGGGGTTGTTCATATAGTAGATTCATCGCCTTATTTAGTCCTTGTACTTTTGTGATTATCTTGGTATGGTACCTTTACTATTTTTCGTTGAATTATGTAGTCAGTGTACTCGCGAAGCTCTTTTAATTTGGCCAAAAGTAAGGGTGATAATTCGAAAAACAAATTGTTATTTCAAAATATTTCTTTCATTATTGAATTGGCAAGATAGTTTTTTTTTTATTTTTTATTTTTATTTTTTCTTAATTTTACTCCAAAAAATCCATGCTAAACCCAGCCCAATTTAATTTTAGCTTCGTTGTAAATTAATTAATAAAATAATTAAAATATATGAAAAGTTGTAACTTTCCTGTATCTTTTTTTATTTTTAGTGATGTTATTTTTAATATATTTTTTATTATTAGTTTTTGTTAAAATTATTTTTATTAAAAAAATATTTTATTTTATTCTTTTATAAAATTAGCATGGTTTGCAAGTTTGTTGATTAAACTAAGATTATCTAAGTTGCCTTATGTTATGTGTTTGGTGTGGTTTTTTTATTATTTTAATTGAATTTAATTTTTTTATAGTCTAATTTTTTATAAATAATTTAAAAATAGTTTTAGAGAAAAATTATATTATTAAATTTTATAAAGTATCAAAAATTGAAGAATGTAGAAAAAATATTGCTCGCTCAACACTCATTTCAATGTGAATTATAATAATAATGTATATTGTTTTGCTTTTTTTTCTTGAATATGTTTTTGTTGATTTCATATTTTAAAATTAAGGATATTAAGAATTTAACTCTATAATTTATTTATTTTATTTTGCATTTATATGAGGTTGGCATGGTTTATAGATTTTACAGAGTAACTCAAATTATCTCAATTTATAATTTTTGTGGGTTTTTTTAATTGAACTTGACTTTTTTTATAGTTCATTTTTTCCCATGCAATTAAAAAAATAATTTCAAAGAAAAATCATGTTATTAAACTTTATAAAGTAATAGATATTAAAAGGTGGGAAGAAATTATTGTTTATTCACACATGTTGCACTATGAATAACAATAGTAATCCACAAAGTTTTACTTTCTTTTTTTATGTTTTTTTTTTGGAATTTTTATTATGATTTTATTAATTTTTTCTTATTAATTTCATCTTTTATTATTAGTATGGTTGGAAACTTGGTTTTATATTTTGTTTCTTTTTATTCTATCTTTCTCCAAGGTTAGTAACATTGGTGTTTATTCCTGATTTATAAGTTTGATACAGTATTTTTTTTAATTCAATTTGATTTTTTTATCATTTATTTTTTTTCATGTAGTTTTTTTTTAAATAATCCTGGAAAAAAGTTATGTTATTAAACTTTATAAAATTCATGGATCTATTCACAGGTTTGGCTAATTAACTTGATTTTTTCAGTGTAATAAGTTAACTAATTTTTTTATTTTATCTTTAAATATTAAGTTGATTGGGAATTCGAATTTATAATTAGTTTTGTTTCACCTTTTATAAGGTTATCACGATCTAAAAAAACATATTAATATTAGATTGATGTTTGATTCGACAATCATCTATTTCTGTTATCATATAGCAAATAACAAATGGTTTTGATAAAAAAAATAAACAAATTATAATTCTAGTAGTGCCCATGACTTGATTTGCAGGTTTGGTGTATTAATTCGGCTTACTCAATTCACAAGTTTGACAAATTTACTAACCAATAAGATATGTTTTTTTTTGTTTTTTGTCTTTTAACTGTTTTTAACTTTTTTTATTTTATCTTTTAATATTGAATTGCTGAGAAATTGTCTGCATCATAGGTTTTTGTTTGCATTCTATAAGGATATTTGTATTAAGTAAGTGTCTATTTTTAGATTGGTACTCAATTTGATGAACATTTATTTTTATTATATAATTAAATAAAAAAAGTTTATAAAAAACATTATTCAACCTAATCGAATTAATGACTCCCATCATAGAAGAACCAAGGTCGATCTAATATATTGTTGTTTAAATATATATTTTTTAAATTGTTATCTTAAAGTTTTTTTAAAAGTTAATTCATATTTTTATCGATTATCAAGGTTATATTTGAATCTATAAAATTAATCAATTTAAATTGAAGTAACTTTCATACAGTTTAATTAAAAATTTTAATTATATAAAAAACTGAATTGAAAATTTTTAAAACTAATCCATGTAATCAAGTTTACTAATGTAATTAAAAAATTATTCATGCTCTTGATTTTTTTTACATTTAAAAAATAACTGACTTGAACCATGATAAAGCGTAAGCTAATATACTACTATACTTTATTTCACGAGTCGAACAAAAATGTGTTTGGTATTGCGGTAGATGTCGTGGTTGTAGTTTGAAAAAAGTTGTTTTATAAAAGTACTTTTAATTGAGATTGGTTTGAAAAAACATGTATTTTGTTAAAAGTGTGATTGAAATTGAGATTGAACAAAAAATAGTTTAATGTGTTTGGTTAAGAATGTTTTTGAAATTGAGGTTATAAAATAATTTTAAAAAATATATATATTAATATTGATGGTTTTTAATTTAAATATTGTAGATTTAACTATTGTTATTACAACATAAAATAAACAATACTTTATATGAAATATTTTTATTATTATTCTATTAAACCATCTATAATTTCATTATGTACAAAATTCATTTGACAAGAACTACATTTTCCATACGTGTAATAAAAGTAGATAAAATATTATCATGTATAAAATTGATATTACAGTGCGAGTAAATCTAGTTCACTATATACTAGTTTTTTTAAAAAAAATATTGTTCATATCATAGTACAAATGAATTTAATTTACTCTAAATTATTTTAAAAAATTATTAAAAAAATTAACATATTAAAAAAAAAATTATTCATGCGAACAGTGCAAGTAAATTGTACTGTTCCTTAAATGAGTAGTGAAATTTACTTGTGAACAATAAAAGTAAATTACACCGTTTATTGTTTTTCAAGTAAATAGTGTAATTCTCTTTCTCTATTATATAAACAATTTATTAATTTATATGATTTATGCTAATTATATTATTTAGTAAACAGTGTAATTAATATAAATTAATATAAACAGTAGAATTGTTTTCTTTTTTCTTTTGATGCATTTAGAATGCAAAAGTAATGTAGAATTCATAAACAAAAAATCTCATTTTATATTTATTAAACGATTAAAATCTATAATTTAATTAAAACATAACCAAAACCGCGTAAACAAACATTCTCAAGAGATCCAGGAAGAACAAAATGGCCAAAACAACCTCATACGTGAAAATGTGGGAAGCCTTGATTCACTCGACACGGTCATTCTCCCTCCCTCCCATAATCTCTCATCACTCAACACTCTTTCTTTTTTATGCTTTCTCTAACTAGAAAACGAAGAATTGAACTCTTAAACAGAGTCAGATACTCGTAAATGGAATCATCATATTAAATTCCACGACAGGTAACATGGTATGGAAGCTTAATTTATTGTCTTTTTAATTAAAAACCTTTTCTCTTGATTTTATTATATGGATATGTTCTTTATTTTTTAAAACAATAGGTGGAGAGATTATGAACCACAAGGTTATTGGGTTGATTTTGATAGATTTTATATCTTCGCTATTTTGGGTTTTTTTTTTCTTTACTTTTTAATGATTATGACTGGTAAAGTTCAAAGCTTTGGATTGATTTATTAATTATTTTTTTTTGTAGATCTTGATTTGCTATTTGCAGGTTTGAGGTCACAGTTTGACATTCATTCTGGTGTTTTTAGGGGGGAGTGGATGCTAAAGTTTGGATTTTTGGATCAATTATTTTTATTGGGGTTTACTCAAGTTCAGGGGGTAAGAGATTGCATGCTGCTGATATGCAATTTCCTTTATGATTTGTAGAGAATTTGATGTTCCATGGGGAGTTTCTGGTGCATTTTAATCAGTGTTTGGTATAGATCACACCTTGAAGTCATAATATTTTCCAGATTCTGCTGGATTTTGCAGTAAATGATTACGAAGATGGAGGGTCAAACAACTTTTTCTGATGGGTGTTATAATTATTATATAAAAAAATAAATTTAGAAAAATTATTTTTAGTTATGAATATTTTTATTAAATTATTAAAAAAAATATTTAAAATATTTAGTTAAAATAATAATTAAAATTAATATTGGTAATATAGATGGAATCAGGATTATATAAAAAAGTTGCCGGAAACACATACCTAATAACTCTTCAACGAATTTAGTCGGGGGGGGTGATGGGATTAGAGGAGGATGAGGAATACAATCGCAGTTGCTGTGAAGATAAAAAGGTGTAGAAATGGATTGAAGAAATGGCCGAGGAAAAGCCCAAAAAGATCTGATGAAGTTTTAGAGATTGTTTGGAAGGAAATATGATTGTTTTTATTTTTTAAATAATTTGTTTTTATTAAAATATATATTAATGATATTTTTTTATTTTTTAAAAATTATTTTTAATATTAGCATATCAAAATAATTTAAAAATATTAAAAATATATTAATTTAAAATTAATAAAAAAAATAAAATAAAATTCAAATTTTTTCAAAACATTTTTGAAATATAGAAAGAAACAAGCCCTTAGTGATGATGCTTTTCAAAGGGACGTGAATTGTTAAGGATAAGGAATTTGGTTTTGGATTCTCGAGTGGTGAACGAAGAGCTAGAGCATCATGATTTTGGCAGCGGGTGACGTTTGTTATCCTTATAGAATCCTTGAGCTGCATATAAAAAATATGGTTTTTTTATTTAGTGGGTGTTTTTTTTTAGATTAATATAGGTGTTCAGGTCAGCTTGTGTGTACCATGACTAATTCCACGGACTTTGAAGTTAATGACCCTGTAAGCCTCCAGTGACCATCATATAAATACCAATGACTCGAACCTGAGATCATAGAAGGAATAAATTTCTCGGTCCCAAGTACTTGCCATTTGGCCACTACTTAGATGGTTTTCGTTGTTCATATGAGTAGTAGTGGTGGCCTTTTATTTTTCAATCTTTTTTTGGGTATTTTTTCACTCTTTTTTTCCCTTTTATTTTTGTCCTTTATTTATTAATTTTATCACTTGTTATTTGCTTGATTTTGTATTCGTCAAAAGTTATTGTAATTTTCAATAAACATTTTAATGTTTGATTTGTTCTTGATCTATTCTAGGTTTTGCAAATATTTATTTTTGTTATTTTATAATCGAGTATAAAATAGTTTTTTAAAAATGAAGTTTTTAAACTCAATGGGCTCCAACACCTTGATTATATATTTAATGGGTTAAGCTACAAAATCTTAATCTATCTAATATGTTATTATTTTAATATTTGTTTTTTAAAGAATTTTTTTGATTTATTTTAAATGCATACCATACTTTTTATTAATTGTTTAGTCTATCTTTGGGTCTATTAGGTCTAGTGGGTAACGTTAAGACTTAAGACAACTCATACAATATAATTTTAAACCCTAGCTAATCAAGAAATTAGGTAGAGAGATTTAAAGGTTGATCTAATATGTTAAATTTAATAATAATATCAAAATAGACAAAGTGAAAGCAAGAATGTTGATTTGAGTAACACAAACATTAATAATAACTAAATACCTAAAAAATTTAATGGTTTCACTATTAAGCCCTAGTATCATGTCAAAAGCCATATTCAACGAGCAGAATGCTAGTATTTTTATACTTTTCATTGCTAATCTTAAGGGATAAAAGGAGGCTAAGTTAGCTAAAAGATAATTATTGGTTTAAGGACACCTAATGTCTTCATTTTTTTAAGGTAAAAAAAAGATAAAAAAATATTTCAAGCCAATGTTTAAGTACCAAATATTATAACGCTTAAGTAATCCATGTCATGCTTTTAGTAAAAGTTTGAGTGACCTTTAATAAAAAGATGCTTGTATCTAAAACTAACATACGTGGATAACATAGAATATATAAGGTGCGAGATAACTCTTTCTAAAAAACTCTACGAAATAGCATTGTAGCTTTGAGAGTAAAGTTGCCATGTCAGAAAGGGAATCATTGATAAAATGATAATAATTTTAGGTATTTATTTAATCTTGCTAGGTACGAGTACTTTTCTTTTAGTATTTCAAGCTCTTTGTATTAGGTATGTTATGATACTTAGGCTGAAGGGTGTAAGAAAAATTACCATCTTGACCCTTAGCTTAAATGTTATTTACTAAAATATCTTTTTGGATGGGAATGATGGATTGTGGTCTCTCTCTACTTTTTTATTGCATTTTCTTCCTTTCATCCTTCAATATTTAATTGATTTTAAATTTATCTTTATAAATTATTTTAATTTATTTTGTGTGAGGTTAATGTAGTCTCAAATAAATATCTTGACATTTGATTTGTGCTTAGTTTTATGAGTGTATATTTTTGTTGTCTTATAAATAAGTAAAGATTATATTTAAAAAACAAAGTTATTAAAACTTATGGAGTTCATCACTCGGATCGTGAATTTAGCAAATTAAGCATGAAATCTGGGTCGATTTAATATGTCGATATCTTAATATTAAAAAATAGGTTTATCTTGAATTTTTTTAAAGTCAAACCATGCTTTTTTATCAGTCACGTGGTTTGCCTTTGCACCACCAAGTTGACTGAGTTACGTTAAGACAACTTTCATAAGGTTTAATTTTAAATCTACACGTGTCGACTCTTAATTTGTTTTTCCTTTAATTTTAAAGCAAGGTAGACAACATATTGCCTACCCTAAGTTTTTTGAAAATAATAAAGGCAGACGACATGTCATATGTCTTCATGGTTTTGACCATCATATAGTGGCTAAGGAATCAATTTTTTTCTTTTTTTATCTAACAACATGATTTTCAACTATAATGCCAAAGCACCAAAAAAACATTCATATGATGTAAATAAACCAACAAAACAACTTAAAAAAACACTAAAAGCACAGATATAAGGAAAAAAATCCCTTCCTAAACTTGATCTCTCTCTCTCTCTTTCTCTTTTTTACAATTTTATAGGGGGAAAACACCTTAATTGAAACTCCATATCAAATGAAACCCATTGACACTAAAATCTATCGTTTTAGTGGTGGAAGTTGCTATAAATTAAGATTTTTTTTAATTTACCGGTGGAATCTGATTGCCCTCTCTTCTCTCTCGTACAAGAAGTTGATAAATAAAAAAATTAAATTTTATATTGTAATTGAATTTATAAATTTATAAAGGACCAAAAAGTTATAATTAAGAAAAAAAGAGATTAAATTGTACTTTTGATATGATTTTTGAAACCACCCCTTGCCTCTTTGTTTTACATCTTAGTCCCTTTTGTTTTGTTGTTTTCCCTCCTTAACAATTTTTGATAAAAACTAGGCATGTATTTAGGCATAAAAGGAAGCAATGAAAAAGAAAAAAAATCATCATGGAATAAATTGAAAAAAATACTACATATACCATCGATTATTATATTGAAAATTCCACATCTTTTAGAGTTTCTTATAATTATTCTTGTATTTAATATTTATCATCAATAAATTTTTTAAATAAAACTTTAGCTTAATTTTAATGATTTTTAAATAAAAATTCAAGAGATAAATAAGTTTTATAAATCATTAGTTAACATGTCATTGAATGTGCAAATCAAAGTAATATGAAATACTATTTAAAAAAAATGCATTAAGAGAGAGTTGCTATATAAATAATTGGCCCTTGATCAGTCCCTTTGCATCAAATACGCTCCGCACAACTCAACTTTGAGTATTTGGGCTTTGCCTCCCTTGATTTTATCAAGTTTCAAGTTTAGCTAATGATTCATTTTAATACTCAAAACTTCACTAAACTCATTTGCAATTTTATATTTTAAACAAATATTTAAACAAAATTAAAAATGTTTTTTAGAATAAAAATAATGTCATAATTTTTTTTTAAATGAAATCACTCTTTGGGTTACCTTTTCATCAAATATAAAAAAAGATTTAGGATGCAAAGAATCACTGTATAATTTTGATGATTGTTGTATCTCTCTCTTTGTGTTAATGTCTTATTGTTAAATTCTATTAGGTGTTGTTTCATTTTGATTGTTATTGTCTTGTTTACAAGTTTGTAGTTAATATATTTTATTTTTTTCAATTGTGAAACCAAAAATGATCTTTTCATCAAATATAAAAAAGATTTAAGATGACATGGAAATTGTTATTGTATGATTTTGTTAATGTTATTGTATCTCTCTTTCTATTTAATGTCTTATAATATTAGTTTAATGTTTAGAAGTTGAAAATATATGAAAAAAACATGAAATTAGAATGGTTGAAGGTTATTTGCTGTCAAATTTCATTTGTTATTGTCTTTTTATTGAATTGTTATTATTTTTTGTTTAAGAATTTTTACTTCATGTATTTTTTTAAATTAAAACAAGGAAAATAACAAGTTATGGGGTTTTTTGTCACCTTTATAAAATATTTAACAATACTATACTGTTTATTTGAAGTATTTTATTCTTATTTTATGTAATTAAAATAAGAAAAAATACAAGTATTATTGTCAAATTTCATTCATTACTGTCTATATATAGAATTATTATTGTTTTTTTTTTATTTTTTTAAGGGTTTCTACTTCATTTATTTTCTTTCAAATTAAAACAAGAAAAATAAAAGGTTATGAGATTCTCTGTCACTATTATAAAATATTTAATAATCTAGCATTATTTATCTAAAAAATCTTATATTTATTTTGTATAACTAAAATAAGAAAAAATACAATCGTTATTGTCAAATTTCATCATTTACTATATGTTTTTTAAATTGTTAATGTTTTATTGTTTAAGACTTTCTAATTCATGTATTTTATTTTTTTCAACAAAAATAAAAAAATAACAGGTGATGGGGTGCTCTATCACTATTATAAAATATTTAGTAATATAATACTATTTATCTGAAATATCTTATAATTGTATAAGGAATTGGTTATCTTATGCAAATTTTACATCACGTGTAGTAAAACTCAAGTCAAATTAGAGGCCATTAGTTTACTGAAAAGTAATTTTTTTTAGAAAATAATTTTTTTGAAAAATAATTTTCTGAAAAGTTAATTATTTTTTGTTATTAGGTAGTATTGTGAAAAATAAATTAGAAAATACTTTCTAGTGTTTGGTTATGTCATGAAAAATTAGTTGAAAAATAATTTATTAATATTTTTTTTTAAATTTATTAAAATAATAAGAAATAAATTTTACAAATTAAAAAGTTGAATGAGAATGAGATTGAAAAAAAATCTAATTTTATAAATTATTTTAAATAAAATAAATAATAATTAAAATAATAAAGATCAAATCTAGTAGATAAAAAAATTAAAAAATAATTAAAATAAAATAATAACAATTATAATTTCATAAATTATTTTAAATAAAATAAGTAAAAATCAAAACAATAAAAATTAAATTATAGATAAAAAATTTTAATTATAAAACAATAAGATAAAAAATAATAATTATAAAAATGAGAAGTAACATTTATATAAAAATCAAACTAAATTAAATTTTAAAAGATAAAATTAAAAAATAGATTCAAAATAAAATATATAGCAATTAAAATTTTGAGAATCAAATTTATTAATCATTAAATAATATAATATTTTTTTAATTTTTTGATTAATTTTTTAATAATAAATAAATATAAAAAATTTTAAAAATAATTTTCCGCCAAATAAAAAAGCTTATGTCGCTTGGATTCGATAGGGTCACTTTTGGCCCCGGATGACCAGATTTTTAAGTGAAACCGACTGATGGATCCCCGGGCGACATGTAGAAACCATCGGAAAAAAAGAAAGTGAAAAAAAACTAGAAAACTAAAGGCCACACAGACCAAAATATTCTGCTAGGGTTTCAGAATCCGAAGTTGTAATGGCAGGCGAGAACGGCAATGGCAGATCCGAGACGAACAGTCGACTAGCTTTGATGGACTCGGTGGAGTCACGGTGGGTGTTTCAAGACGGCGGCGAAAAAACACTAGAGGCAGGTGCAATTTTAAAAAGCACTAAAAAACAGAAGCTACCACAACCCCTAACAGGTTCTTATGCCTAGGTCAAAATTCACACAATACAAATACCAGCAGTAAAAAGGCACAGTTATTCAATTCTCTAAAAAGCACTCTGGTTCTTGGTGAGAATTTTCTCTACAGGTTATGCTTGCATGGCAATCTAAACAAGGGAACATAAAGCTAAACCCATAGAAACAGCAAGATAATACTCTGAACAGATCACAAATGCAGTTAGTGATGTAATAATACTACCAAGCACCTAGTTCAAAGAAAATACAATAAGCACACTCAGAAGTGTTTAGAAGATACAATCTAGATAAAGCACAAGGACCAGGTGGCAGATGTACAATCCAATACATAAGAAACCCTAAGAAAAAGAAAAGGATAAGATAAGGATTAAGAAACAGCAGTTATCTTTCCCTAATGGGCATAAAATTTGACTGGAGCACGATTAAAAAAAAAAAGAAAAAAAAGCAAATTGCAAAGCAACTTTTTAAAAAAAAAAAGCAAATTGCAAAGCAACTTTTTCCAAACAAAATATCGCAGTAAAGTGGATGACATGGCAAAGCATACAACTTATGGAACTGACAGCAAGCCAGCAACACAGCAAGGTAGCAGCCACCACCAGTATCAAAAGTGCTAGTACCATTACCGAACCAACCCCATCATGAAGGGCAGCAACTGACCGCTACAGGTGATTATTCACTAATACTTGCATAAGTTACGGACCGACCAATATCATACAACAGAACAGGCATCAGCCATCACTTGAACAGCTACAGTCACGGACTTGTATGCTTACTTCACTACATTGAGCAACATTAGTTAAAAGGTTATATTGGTGGCGTTAAGCATGGCAAAGTCTTATGCCCCAAACAAATAATAGGCAGAATCATGTTAACCTGGCCTGTAAAAAACTGCGGCTGCAAAATTCAGAACTGCATAT